TGAATAAGATCAGCTCCTGTACCACCCCACTACTGCCTCCCAAAGCGGCAAGTTTGGGCCCAAATCAATTAAAGCCAAACGTCGGTGCCATTTCCCTCTTTTTTCACAACCCCGCTTGCTAGGCCTGGGGATGTCTCACAGCCCTGTGGAAAGCCCCTTGCTGCCAAGAGGTTCCCTTCTCCCCCTCTTTTTCCCCTGCCTATATCCTCCTGTCACCTCAACAAACCTGACTCTTGAGCTATACCTGACTTAGAATAGTGTCACTGAAGCATGTTAGTGAATGTTAGCATGTAATTTGGTGATGGGTAGCAGGTTTAGCCTTTAATATGCAAAAGTGGTTTTCTAAGAGTGGGACTCTTTTTCAAGCAGACATCTTTGTAGAGCCCTTTTCCTTTCTTTTTTAAATTTTTAATAGAGATGGAGGCTCACTTTGTTGCCCAGGCAGACCTCGAACTCCTGGGCTCAAGTGATCCTCCAGCCTTGGCCCCCTAAAGTGCTGAGATTACAGGTGTGAGCCACCGTGCCTGACCTATAGATTCCTTTTCATCCAGACACCTTGTGCATCTCTTCAGCCTCGCTTCTCTTCATCTCTCCTCACTCGCTAGTTTTTTAATCATTGGAACACAACGTCCTCTCTTTTAATACACAAGCTTCCTGCTGCCCCACAGCCTTTGCGTTTGTTTTCCTTCCACTAGATTTTCATGTGGCTGGCACCTACACATTTCTCTTGGTTTCAGCTTAAATGTCGCCTCTTTCCTATAAGCAGCCGCTGACCAACCAGCTAAAGCTACACCACTTCCTATCCCCCAACAAACACCTCTACCTCAGTAGTTCTCAACTGTGCCTGAGGGGACGTTGTTGGTTGTCACCACTGGAGTATGTGACTGGCATCTAGTGGGTGGAGGCCAGGGATGACGCTAAATACCTTAGAATGCACAGGACAGCCCCTACAACAGAGATTTCTGTCCCCAAATGCCATAGTTGAGAAGTCAGTGTCTATCACAGGATTATTTCTCTTAGTAATAAACAGTATCAGAAGTCATGGGTTTTGTCTTTCTTCCCTAAGCTCCTTAGAACCTGGAGTTCAGGGTTGTTTCGTGAAGAGCACCTGACACCTATGTGACTTGCCACAAATTGATCCACTTTGACTAGAGCTCACGGCAAGTTGCAGATGCCTGACCCAGACTAAAGGATGAGCCAGAGAAAATGTCGAGTTGGTTTTCAAATTTGTTCCATTGTTGTTTTGTTAAAACAAAGCTGTTTTGTTTTCAAGAGACAAACAAACAAAAACAACTTTTATTAATGAGCATGCATACAAATAAACCTAGACAACCACCAAGAGTCCCTCACAGTTTCACGTATCCACAGAATTATTTCATCTTTAAAGCCATCAGTGAAGGATTAGTTCTGCTGCTTGTTTAAGTTGTGCAAAATTTCTCAATGTAAACATACAGTCTTTTTTTTTTTTTTGAGATGGAGTCTCGCTGTGTGGCCCAGGCTGGAGTGCAGTGGCCGGATCTCAGCTCACTGCAAGCTGCGCCTCCCGGATTCACGCCATTCTCCTGCCTCAGCCTCCCAAGTAGCTGGGACTACAGGCACCCGCCATCTCGCCCGGCTAGTTTTTTTGTATTTTTTAGTAGAGACGGGGTTTCACCGTGTTAGCCAGGATGGTCTCGATCTCCTAACCTCGTGATCCGCCCGTCTCAGCCTCCCAAAGTGCTGGGATTACAGGCTTGAGCCACCGCGCCCGGCTCTAAACATACAGTCTCAATCATACCAGTGTTCTAATGTCCCAAGACTGATTGTAGGTAATGGAATCTCAACCACACCTTAAATAATAATAATAAATTCAATGTAATCTACAAGATTAATATATTTAAAGGAAAATAGTTCATTCACTAAATTCCTCCCCTTTCTTCCTTCTTACCTATTCTCCCTCTCACTTGACAATTTTTTTCTACAGTATATGACAATAGCCAAATTACCCAGGATCAACCGTTTCAAAAAAGAAATGTTATTTTAAAAGATACCATACAGCAAGAGACTTATAGGTGTAACACCACTGAAATTATTTACCAAACCCTGGCCGGGCACGGTGACTCACACCTGCAATTCCAATACTTTGGGAGGCTGAGGCAGGCAGATCACTTGAGGTCAGGAGTTCTTGAAATACAAAAATACAAAAATTAAGTGGACATGGTGGCTATCCCAGCTACTCAGGAGGCTGAGCCAGGAGAATTGCTTGAGCCCGGGAGGCGGAGGTTGCAGTGAGCCAAGATTGTGCCGCTACACTCTAGCCTGGATGACAGAGCCAGATTCTGTCTCAAAAGAAAAAAAAAAAATTATTTACCAAGCTGTGTTTTCGTAGTGTTTTTTAATTCTCCAAACTGCTTCAGTATCTGTAGTGTATTTTACATTTCAAAGACTTCTCACATGTAACATTTCATTGGAATTACCACTGTATGTCATAGTTGATATGGAAATTATTACATCTAACAGATGAAGAAAATGTAGACATAAAGAACCTTTTGCTCTAATGTCATCCAGTGTAACTGCTAAGAGTTAGGATTAGACTTAAATCCTATTCCTAATTCTGTATACTACCCTAAACTCCTAAGCCCCCATACATTGTACTTCACAGAATGCTACTAGTCACTGTGCTCATGCGTTCCAGCAAGTTTTGGAAATGTTGTGTTAAGCAAAGCTAACCAGATTCCCGGAGTCTTTATCATGCATCATAAATCCCCAGGAAGGATCCAGAGAATAGAGCAGGTGCCATAAAGTTAAAAGCCCCACACCTGCCAGCCAGGTAACAAAGGTGAGCATGCAGTAAGGACTTGGGGATTAGAGGGCCATCTAGTGGGGCCCTGGTCACATAGCAATCCAGTCCAATCTTGCCAGGTCTTTCCAGAGAAGCTACAAATCTTGGCTTTAATTTTCAAATCTCCAGTTTTGTGCATGTTGCCTTAAATTTGAGGGGAAAAAAAAGACACTACAGTTTAAAAAATATATATAAAATTTTTGACCAGATCAGGCCAGCCACATTTGGGAAAACTGAAATACCATACATCACTATCTTATTTGCCCACAGAATTTTCCTTCAAAGGACCTATAATTTCCTAGAACAATAACAGTGTCAAAAATATTGCCTCTGACTGGGCACGGTGGCTGATGCCTGTAATCCCAACACTTTTGGGAGGCCAAGGTGGGTGGCTCACCTGAGGTCAGGAGTTGGAGGCCAGCCTGGCCAATATGGTGAAACCCCATCTCTACTAAAAATAAAAAAATAAGCCGGGCATGGTGGTGGGCATCTGTAATCCCAGCTACTCAGGAGGCTGAGGCAGGAGAATCACTTGAACCTGGGAGGCAGAGGTTGCCGTGAGCTAAGATTGCACCATTGCATTTCAGCCTGGGTGACAAGAACAAAACTCCATCTCAAAAAAACAGAAACAAAAAGTTTCCTCTGAAAGCAAGTATCCTGTTGTCCCAGACAACTATGGTATGGGTAGCTCTGAACCTCAACCACGAATTATTTCAGAGTTTACTCAAACTGAAATTGAAATTAATACCCAGCCTTAACTATTCATGTAGAAATGGTTTTTTTTCTGACAAATCTAGCCCTTGCAAATCTATACTTTTGTTTTGTTTTGTTTTGTTTTGTTTTGTTTTAAGATGGAGTTTTGCTCCTGTTGCCCAGGCTGGATGCAGTGGCACTATCTCAGTTCACCACAACCTCCACCTCCCGTGTTCAAGTGATTCTCCTGCCTCAGCCTCCCAAGTAGCTGTGATTACAGGCATGCACCATCGTGCCCGGCTAATTTTGTATTTCTAGTAGAGACGGGGTTTCTCCATGTTGGTCAGGCTGGTCTCGAACTCCCATCCTCTGGTGATCCACCTGCCTCAGCCTTCCAAAGTGTTGGGATTACAGGTGTGAGCTACCATGGCTGGCCGGCAAATATATACTTCTAAACAATTATACTGGTTTAGTATAATTTTTTTTTATATTGTTTTTTATATTGACTAAAGATACCCTTACAATAAGCCTAACTGAATTGTCAAAAAAAAAAAAAAATACAGGAATTGATTAGATATGAGAAAGACACTTTGCCTTTCCAAAACAATTTTATATTTTTTCTTTTCTTAAATTTTTTTCGTAACAGAGAGGGGGTCTTGCTATGTTGCCCAGGCTGGTCTCAAACTTCTGGGCTCAAGCTATCTGCCCACCTTGGCTTCCCAAAGTGCTGGGATTACAGGAATGAGCCACGGCACTAGCCTCCAAAACAATTTTAAACATAAAAGTGGTTTGGAGACTATTTAAAATTTGGGTCAAAACTAGTGGGTTTCAAACACTTGTATCTGCAATGTAACTTGTAAGGCAGAAAAGGCAGCCCTTTCCCCACTCCAGCCTTTTTTTTTTTGCTTTTATTTCTGACCTTCTTGGTTCTAAAAATTTGTTCAGAAAGCCTGGTGGTTGTTTAAATGCTTAGCACCGTGACACACATGTGATAAAAATTGCATAAATGGGCTGGGCATGGTGGCTCATGCCTGTAATCCCAGCACTTTGGAAGGCCAAGGCGGCTGGATCGCCTGAGGTCAGGAGTTCGAGATCATTCTGGCCAACATGGTGAAACCCTGTCTCTACTAAAAAAAATACAAAAAATTAGCTGAGCATAGTGGCGAACACCTATAATCCCAGCTACTCGTGAGGCTGAGGCAAGAGAATCGCTTGAACCCGGGAGATGGACGTTACAGTGAGCCAAGATTTCGCCATTGCACTGCAGCCTGGGCAACAAGAGCAAAGCTTCATCTAAAAAAAAAAAAAAAAAAAAAAAAAATTGCATTAATGTGTTGAATCACCTGGCAAATGATTTTCTTTCCCTGGTGTCTACGTGTTCCATACTATTGTTGCCTCTTTTAACTGGTAAAATAGCTACTCCAATTCAGAGATCCAGTACTTAATGCATCACATGTCCAGAGTCATGAAAAAACAGCCATACCTGTTAGGGTGAATTAAACTCACTTTATTTCCCCATGGAGGCAATTAAAACCCATGATTTGAAACCTTTGGAAAACACAGGAAATGCAACATTTGGAAGTATCATATAGAAACAAGAGATTATCATGTAATGCTTCCAAATGAAGTCTCACATCGGATTTGCTGATTTTTAAGACAGATTTCCCTCTTCTGCACAGCTTTGATGGCCAAGACAGAAGTTCATTTGCTATGTTTCCAGTGACTATTCTCTCTGATGGATACAGGATTTATGGGGTCTAAAGAGAACATACAATTCTAAAGTGTTCATGTTTGACAGAGAACTCTACAATGATCAGAAGGATTGATTGAACCTGTTTTAGCACAAAAAATTAGGACTACATTAATGATGAGGCTGACTATACACAGTTTGGAGCAAGAGAGTTACTCTACCCAGTGTCACTGACATGTTGGAAGGCCAGATGAAACTGAAACAGAAAAATTGTCTTGGAGTCTCAAAGACGTCCGATATGTTCAGTCTTCTGCAGTCATGGGCGTAAACTCTCAAAGAGCACCACTGGGTCTTGGTTCATGGCATAAAGATTATTCTCAATGTAGATATTGTCTTCTGCGTGGACTTCCTTTTTAACTGCATTTTGCAAAGTTTTAAATTGATGGTTGCTAAATGAAACACTGTAGAAAGAGTTGTTGAAGAATAACATGAGTAAGAAAAAATAAAAGCAGACCACTTCTCACATATGAGCTGCACTTTTGTTTATGATCAGGCAATATCAGGTATTCGAGACTATAGGAGCCCGGTTCACACAAAGAATAAAATAAATAGTGCTTTTCTAGAGTTGTAAAAAGTGGGGCTCTTATTATTAAGTTGAAGAAAAGTCTGTTTAATAAGCAGTTAGATAGACAACCTAAGAAGAATTGAAAAACTCAGACTGGTCTCTTTGAAACTCACATAATAGAATACAAAAATGGAAAATCTAAAAATACAGAGCTGTGACATCAAACTAAGTGGCTGAATCAAGATGCACATTTTCAAATGTGGCTAAGAATTGGGTGACTGGTGTTTTTCCAACTGTGGCTTGTGATCCTTTAGAGAGGGTTGTTAATCTACTTAGCAATCTACATCCTATATTCAGGATAAAAACAGAATAGAGAAACATTGCATATAGTTAAATTGTACTGTTTCACAAGTGTACACTGGATCATAGTGTTAAAAATCTTCCTGTGCTGGGTGCAGTAGCTCATGCCTCTAATCCCAGCACTTTGGGAGGCCATGGCAGGAGGATCCCTTGAGGCCAGGAGCTTAAGGCCAGCGTGAGCAACATAGCGAGGCTCCATGTCTACGAAAATTTTTTTTAATTAGCCAGATGTGGTGGCTTGTGCCTATAATCCTGGCTACTCGGGAGGCTGAGACAGGAGAATCACTTAAACCCAGGAGATGGAGGTTGCAATGAGCCGAGATCACACCACTGCACTCCAGCCTGGGCAACAGAATGAGACTCTGTCTCAAAAAAAGAAATCAGTAGAAAGAGTGGAAATACAAGTGAGGGAAGGATGTGGACTTAATTTTAACTTATGTGTAGCGTTTTGATGTAACTGTTTATTTTTATATAGTATATTTGTATATAGTGACTATTTGTTAACAAAGCCTGCCCCCAAAATATGGACCTTGTCTTCATTCAGCTGCAGATGAAACACATGTCCACACATTTAAAGAACTGTGAAAAACAAAGCTCCACTGTGGTCCCTCAACAGGTCAGTCATCCATGTGTGAAGACACTTAGTTTAAGTGTCAATGAACTCAAATGACTCAGTGTGATAGAACTGCCGAGAAGATAATGTTATGAGGAAATGTTCATAATTTGTTAGTGTGGGTTTTGTTTTTTTTGTTTCGTTTTTTTTTTTTTTTTTTTTTTTTGCTTTTTTAATACTTTACACATTTCTCTGTCATTCCAGAAATATTTATGAGCATGGATTCCTGAGACTGAGTCCTTTATATGCTATGTGATGTGACCTTAGACGTCACTCAATATTTCTGAAACTGTTTTCCAATCTGTAAAATGAGAATAGTGCCTCTCTCACAGTTTATTGCTGTAAAGGGCTTGATTGCAATAACAAAAGTCGATATATATGAAGCACTTACAATATGCCGGGCACTGTTCAGACAGGTTCTGTGGATTGGCTTGGGTAATTAACTCAGACTCAGGAAAGTCTGTGTACAAACATCCAGTGAAGGAGACCTAGGCTTAATAGATGGAAGCCTAAGTAAGAGGGATGGGATTCTGAATTAAAGAAAGTCCTTGCTTAAATCTCAACCTGTACCAAAGGAAGCAGGCTGGATGGCTTTAGAACTAGGTAGTTGTCTCCTACCATTACAGGCAATGGGGCAGATGGCCTCGGGGCATAGTTGCAGTAAAGGGTATTTAAATTGTAACTGGTGCCGGGCGCAGTGGCTCATGCCTGTAATCCCAGCACTTTGGGAGGCCAAGGTAAACAGGTCACCTGGGGTGAGGAGTTCCGAGACCAGCCTGATTAACATGGCAAAACCCCGTCTCTACTAAAAATACAAAAATTAGCCGGGCATGGTGGCAGGTGCCTGTGATCCCAGCTACTCAGCAGGCTAAGGCTGGAGAATTGCTTAAATTCAAGAGGTGGAGGTTGCAGATCGCACCATTGCACTCCAGCCTGGGCATCTCAAAAAAAAAAAAAAAAAAAAAAAAAGTAACTGGGCAGCAGGATAGACTGAAAGGTCTTTTTTTTTTTTTTTTTTTTTTTTTTTTTTGGAGATGGAGTCTCGCTCTGTCGCCCAGGCTGGAGTGCAGTGGCCGGATCTCAGCTCACTGCAAGCTCCACCTCCCAGGTTTACACCATTCTCCTGCCTCAGCCTCCCAAGTAGCTGGGACTATAGGCGCCTGCCACCTCGCCCGGCTAGTTTTTTGTATTTTTTAGTAGAGACGGGGTTTCATCGTGTTAGCCAGGATGGTCTCGATCTCCTGACCTTGTGATCCGCCCGTCTCGGCCTCCCAAAGTGCTGGGATTACAGGCTTGAGCCACCGCGCCAGGCCTGAAAGGTCTTTAAAAGCAAATTCAAGTGCCTGCAAGGCTAGACAGCTAATATAGATCAGTGGAGCAGGCTGGGTAGGGAGCAGCAGGGAATGATGGAAGCTGTAGAAAACTGGAGGCACTTGCCCTACCTCAGTACCTTTGCACTCACTGCTCCTGCAGCCAGGAGTATCTTCCTCCAAATTAGCTGCCTTTCCTGGTACTCAAACAGGCCCTTATCCTGTTCTATAGTCCCCAGGCTGTTTATCTGTAAGGACGTAAAAGAACCATGCTTATTTGCTTACATGGTTTTTGTCTGTTTTATTCATCTCTTTGGAATATGATAGTCAATAAACACTCAGTAAGACAAAGCATTGAATATGGTGAAACCCCATCTCTATTAAAAATACGAAAAAATGGCCGGGTGCGGTGGCTCATACCTGTAATCCCAGCACTTTGGGAGGCCGAGGCAGGCAGATCACCAGAGGTCAGGAGTTTGAAACCAGCCTGACCAACATGGAGAAACCCCGTCTCTACTAAAAATACAAAATTAGCCGGGTGTGGTGGTGCATGCCTGTAATCCCAGCTACTCGGGAGACTGAGGCAGGAGAATCACTTGAACCCAGGAGGCAGAGGTTGTGGTGAGCCGAGATGGTGCCATTGCACTCCAGCCTGGGCAACAAGACCGAAACTTGGTCTCAAAAAAAAAAAAAAAAGAAAAAAAAAAGACAAAGCATTAAATGAAATAAAAGAGCAAACTAAAGCAACAACTCATTCAATGTTTAGTCCCGTCGAGCAAATCTTGCAATTTAGTTATCTTGCCCTATGGGGTTTGCTTAGGACTGAGATGCTCCGTCTGTACCAGCTATGTCACAACTCCAGGGAAATACACAAAGCTACAAATATCACTGGAAGGTGTAAATAATAGAATTGCTCATTAAAGTAGACCATCAGGATCCAAGGTATATGATGGAGAGTTTAAGAGAGAGACAGAAATCTGTTTTTATTTTACCAGAGTAGGAACCTCAAAAGTATTGATAGAAATACTTTCAAGCTTACCTTAGTTGTTGAATCTCCTTTTTGAAGAAATACTCTAAATTACAGGGGTGGGGAGAGAGGAGTTGAAGAGAAAATTAAACATCTCAGCAAGAGTTTATAATATTTTTTCAATCAAGTGTATTATTTCTGTTATTACTTGGATTTTTCCCTGGTACCTTGAGGTATCTCCTTCCCATGTCCCTTTTGATTCTGTAGGACCCATTGTTTGATTCTGTAGGACCCAAACAAGCCATTTACTGTCCAGTATCTCAATTTCATTAATGCTTTGGTGTATTCATCCGCATATCCTCCCTAACTTTAACGCAATTCTTAAATTATCTTTCATTTTTAAAAAATGAGTAAGTCCAAGATTCTTCTGATAGGCTGCTGAACAACAGGCATCGATCAAGATTTGTTTCAGATGAACTGGGTCACAAGGCCATATGCTTTAAAAGTCACCTCTATCAAAGGATACCTTTGCAAGAGTTTGTACTACCAATCATCTGTCTCCTAAAGAAGGAAATAATGAGTTATTTTTGCTTAAGGAGGAAAGCACATTTTGAGGTCATTAGGGTTCAGAATACAAAACCCTCAAACAGGCTTCTTTGGACTTCAAAGTGAGAGTACCTGAGGAGGAGCATATGCAGGGAAGGGCTTTCTCTGAAGCTCCCCTCTCTAGCTAAAGGCCAGATCCTCCAGAAGATACTCTGTTGTTGCGAATCCTTTCCCCAGATATCTCATCAATGGTGGCAGGGTTGGGGGGGATGGGGGAGGGGAATTGATGCACATCACAGGAAGACTAGAGCTGACAACACATCCAGAGTCCAGAGGAATTTGTCCTGCCCTATAGTCTGTTCTTTGGGCCCATTCATCTCCGCTAAAAATCATTTACTCTTCCTCTAAAATTGCCCACATCCATCACTTTTCTCTCCCCTAAAAAAAGGGTATTTAAGGCCGGGTGCAGTGGCTCATGCCTATAATCCCAGCACTTTGGGAGGTGGAGGCAGGTGGATCACGATGTCAGGAGTTCCAGACCAGCCTGACCAACATGGTGAAACCCCATCTCTACTAAAAATACAAAAATGATCCGGGAGTGGTGGCATGCGCCAGTAATCCCACCTACTCAGGAGGCTGAGGCAGGAGAATTGCTTGAACTCGGGAGGCAGAGACTGCAGTGAGCTTGAAGAGGGCCAGTCCCTCTACACCTGTGGGTATTTCTCATCAGGAGGGATGAGAGACTGAGAAAAGAAATAAGACGGGCCGGGCGCGGTGGCTCAAGCCTGTAATCCCAGCACTTTGGGAGGCCGAGACGGGTGGATCACCAGGTCAGGAGATCGAGACCATCCTGGCTAACACGGTGAAACCCCGTCTCCACTAAAAAATACAAAAAATTAGCCGGGCGAAGTGGTGGGCGCCTGTAGTCCCAGCTACTCGGGAGGCTGAGGCAGGAGAATGGCGTGAACCCGGGAGGCGGAGCTTGCAGTGAGCTGAGATCCGGCCACTGCACTCCAGCCTGGGCGACAGAGTGAGACTCTGTCTCAGAAAAAAAAAAAAAAAGAAAGAAATAAGACACAAAGTATGGAGAAAGAACAGTGGGCCCAGGGGACCGGCACTCAGCATACGGAGGACACACGCTGACACTAGTCTCTGAGTTCTCTCAGAATTTATTGATCACTATCTCTACTATCACAGTGAGGGGGACGTGGCAGGACTATAGGGTAATAGTGGGGAGAGGGTCAGCAGGAAAACATGTGAGCAAAGGTCTCTGTGTCATAAATAAGTTTAAGGAAAAGTGCTGTGCCTTGATGTGCACATAGGCCAGTTTGACTTTACACAAGCATCTCAGTGCAGTAAAGAGCAGTATTGCCACCAGCATGTCTCACCTCCAGCCATAAGGCGGTTTTCTCCTATCTCAGTAAACAGAATGTATGATGGGGTTTTACATCGAGACATTCCATTCCCAGGAATGAGCAGGAGACAGATGCCTTCCTCTTATCTCAAATGCAAAGAGGCCTTCCTCTTTCACTAATCCTCCTCAGCACAAACCATTTATGGTTGTCGGGCTGGGGGACGGTCAGGTCTTTCCCTTCCCACGAGGCCATATCTCAGGCTGTCTCAGTGGAGGGAAACCTTGGACAATACCCAGGCTTTCTTGGGCAGAGGTCCCTGTGGCCTTCCGCATTGCATTGTGTCCCTGGGTACTCGAGACTGGAGAATGGCGATGACTTTTACCAAGCATACTGCCTGCAAACACGTGTTTAACAAAGCACATCCTGCACAGCCCTAAATCCATTAAACCTTGAGTCAACGCAGCACATGTTTCTGCGAGCACAGGGTTAGGGTTAGGGTTACAGATTAACAGCATCTCAAGGCAGAAGAATTTTTATCAGTACAGAACAAAACGGAGTTTCTTATGTCTTCTTTCTACACAGACACAGTAACAGTCTGATCTCTCTTTCTTTCCCCCACAGAACTGAGATCACACCACTGCACTCCAGCCTGTGTGACAGAGTGAGAGACTCTGTCTCAAAAAACAGGAAAGAAAAGGGTATTTAAGCTCCAGTCATCTGGCCCTTTCTTCCATCTCATATTTTGTGTGGCTTCTGTACACATACTAAATATGTATTCCTTTTCTCCTGTTAATCTCCTAATAATCAATTTTTTACAGTGTACTCAAGTACTTTCAGAGGGAAAGTTTGAACTTCCCTGAAAGGTATTTTACCCAATTTCTAAATAATCACTTTGACTACCCAAACTCCAAAATAATTATGTAAAAACTTCCTCAAATTTGTCAAACATACTCTTAATTTTCTGATTGTCCTCTGCCCAGATCCATGAACTAGATCAGTTATGGCTTCAAATACCACATCTTGCAAAACAGCTAACTAGGGTTCTTTTACCGGAGGCAGGTTATACTGAGACAAACACACACACACAATCAGCAGAAGGGAGACGTGAAGACATGAAGTGGTTGCTTTTTGAAAATTTTTGTTTTACTGTTCTAGTCTTTGTCTTGCTATCAGTTTCCCCTCCCAATGTCTCATGTGCCTCTTCTGCTAAATAAGTGTTGTAAAATTTTAACAATATCACCCCCACAGTGACAAAAATTAGATCTTGTAGGGTGGAGAGACTAAATCTTATATATCACAATGGTGTGTTGACTGCCAGATCTCAACACTACCCAATAAACTCCTATTTCTTGATACAGTTGGCCCTCGATAGCCACAGGTTTGGCATCCTCAGTTTCAACCACTCACAAATTAAAAACTAAAAAAAAAAAAAACAATAAAAATAATACACAACCATAATAATACAGATAAAAACAATACAATATAACAACTATTTACCTGACATTTACCTCGTATATTAGGTGTTCTAAGTAATCTAGAGAAGATTTAAAGTATATTGGAGAAAGTGAGTAGGCTATGTGCAAATACTATACCATTTTATAAGGGACTTGAGCATCTGCAGATTTTGGAATCGAGGAGCTCTGGAACCAATCCCCCAGTGGTACTGAGGAACATCTGTATTGAATTTTTCTTGGCCTGGCATTGTGACTCATGCCTGTAATCCTAGCACTTTGGGAGGTCAAGGCATGTGGATCACCTGAGGTCAGGAGTTTGAGACCAGCCTAGCCAACATGGCAAAACCCCGTCTCTATTAAAAATACAAAAATTCGGCCGGGGGCCGTGACTCACGCCTGTAAACACAGCACTTTGGGAGGCCGATGTGGGCGGATCACGAGGTAAGGAGATCGAGACCATCGTGACTAACACAGTGAAACCCCGTCTCTACTAAAAAATACAAAAAATTAGCCAGGCGTGGTGGCAGGCGCCTGTAGTCCCAACTACTTGGGAGGCAGAGGCAGGAGGTCGACGTTGCAGTGAGCCAAGATCGTGCCATTGCACTACAGCCTGTGAGACAAGAGAGAAACTCTGTCTCAAAAAAATTCTTATAGAATTAAATTTTTTCCATAGGGGAATATTAATTGAAAAATAAGTTTAAAAAACAGTGGTTTTAAGTGAAAACTCTACTAGAATGTAAGTTCCATGAGACTTATAAAGATTTATGGCAAAAGGATCTTTCTAACTACGATTACAGTTTAAGATTGCTGTGCCCTTGTCGTGTGCCAGGAACCATTCTCAGTGCTTTTTCTTCTTGTTCTTTTCCTTTTATTTTAGAGACAATGTCTCACTATGTTGTCCAGGCTGGTTTTGAATTCCTGGGCTCAAGCAATCCTCCTGCCTCAGCCTCCCAAAATGCTGGGATTACAGACATGAGCCACTGGTCCCGGCTGGTGTTTTTTTTTTGTTTTTTTTTTTCACATTTTTTTAAAAGAGATGGGGTCCCACCATGTTGCCCAGGCTAGTCTTGAACTCCTGGGCTCAACCAATCCTCCTGCCTCACTCAGCCTCCCAAGTAGCTAGGATTACAGGCATACGACCTCCCATTCTTAGTGCTTTGTAGGTCCAAATGCATTTAAACTTCATTTGCCTTCCCCCTTGAGGTAGATGGTATTACCATGTGCCTTTTACAAATGAGGATTTGGGGACAAAGGGAAGTCGTGTGAAATCAAAATCACGTGGCTTATGAAACTAGTGAACCCAGGCAAATTGGCTGTACATCCCTTGCTCTAGTCCCTTAGGAACAATCTTGAAATGACTTACTTTTGGCAATGACGACACCCAAAACAGCAAGAAGCACCAAGACAGAAATACAGACTCCAGCATAGATTCCTTCAGTGGTGTTGACCATCTGTGGACTATGTTCTGGGGACAATTGCTAAGGAAACAACAACAGATCAAAAAAGCATCTTGTTAGAAAATTATGAAGAGAAAACGTTTCCCAGAATCACTTACCCAGCCGTATTTACCTGTATTGGTGCTTGGGGACTTCTGGAACATAAGGGTAAGACCAAATGATCTGAGTTTATAACCCTATGGTGAAAATCTAGGACAATCTGAAATTCAAAACATATTTTACAATGATGGGGGTTTTCTCTAGCTTGCTTGAGGTCGTATTTACATAGGTGCACACATTTGTCAAAACTAAAACTATATGCTTAAAATGGGTTTGTATGTAAATTTTTTAATTTACTGTTTTGAAAGTCAATAGGTTATTTCCATAAATACATCCTTTTGTGATATTAAAAAGAAACAATGTCGGGCGTGGTGGCTTATGTCTGTAATCCCAGCACTTTGGGAGCCCAGGCAGGTGGATCACCTGAGGTCAGGTGTTCAAGACCAGCCTGGGCAACATGGTGAAACCCCATCTCTACTAAAAATACAAAAATTAGCTGGGCGTGGTGGTGCGTGCCTGTAATCCCAGCTACTTGGGAGGCTGAGGCAGGAAAAATTGCTTGAACCCAGGAGGCAGAGGTTGCAATAAGCCAAGATTTCGCCACTGCACTCCAGCCTGGGCAACAGAGTGATGTGATGTTATCTTAATGTGCTCAGTTATTGAATTTTGTCCTTGATTATAGTCTTACTTGTCTTTTTACCTGTAATTGAAGATTCTGTCTCTGTCTATATAAATAGATTTGAGAGTAGGTGCACACAGACATGGCTATGATTAACAATTCAATGCTATACAATCATGCAGAAATGTAGAATTATCTAAGTCTTCTGGTGCCTATCACAAGACATCATTACCTCCTGGAATAGGGCTGAAATGTGCCAGGTGTCATGCTAGTCCCCCTTTCATGGCTTAGTTCTAATCCTAAAGAGAGTCTACCGGGTAGGTATTTTAATAGAAGGAAAGGGGAGAATCTGAGTGAAGGCCAAGGCTTCTCATTTATAAAAGCTTAATCTCTGGAGTTAGAATCCCAGGTCTTGGCCAGGCACGGTGGCTCACGCCTGTAATCCCAGCACTTTGGGAGGCCGAGGCGGGCGGATCACGAGGTCAGGAGATCGAGACCATCCTAGCTAACATGGTGAAACCCCCTCTCTACTAAAAATATAAAAAATTAGCTGGGCGTGGTGGCAGGCGCCTATAGTCCCAGCTACTTGGGCAGCTGAGGCAGGAGAATGGCGTGAACCTGGGAAGCAGAGCTTGCAGTGAGCCAAGATGGCCACTGTACTCCAGCCTGGGCGACAGAGCGAGACTCCGTCTCAACAACAACAACAAAAAGAATCCCAGGTCCTCTACTTAGTCACTATGTGCCCATGGACAAGCTGTTTAGCCTCTCTGGACCTATTTCTATATCTAGCAACAGTAGATTCAATAGGGTTCTTTGCAAGGGTACTTTTAGGTACTTCCTGGTAAACACTATGAATATAGTGGAGTAACAGCATTTGAGCCATGCTTGCTTAGAAGTGGCATAGTCAGTGTCTGGGAGTGCAAAACTGCATTGTTATTACTTTACCTATGGGGTGGGAGGGAAATGTAATGTGCGTAGATGGAGAATGGGGTTTCAAGAGACAGGATTTGTTTTCAGTTTTTAATTATAATACACAAATACTGCATGCTCATTTTAGAATGTACAGCTAAGCATAAAAAAGGAAAACTAAGAAAACCATAACCAGGTCAGGGACAGTGGCTCACACCCATAATCCCAGCACTTTGGGAGGCTAAGGCAGGAAGATAGCCTGAGCCCAGGAGTTTGAGACCAGTTTGGTAAGACCCTGTCTCCAGAAAAAAATAAAATTAGCCAGGGGTGGTGATGCATGCCTGTGGTCCCAGCTACTTGGGAGGCTTGTGGTGGGAGGATCACTTGAGCCTGCGAGGATGAGTCTGTAGTGAGCTGTGATCGTGCCACTGCACTCCAGCCTGGGCAATGGAGTGAGACTCTGTCTCGAATAAATAAATAAACCATAACTTTAACATCCAGAAATGAGCACTTTTGCCATTTTGCTTTATATACTTTTCTAGAATTTTATCCTTCTAGGATTTTTTCTTAACAGAAATAATTACTATATTCTATATGAACTATAGTACATCATAATTGTATCCTATTTCAAAAGTTGCTTCTTTCATTTAATAATGTGTTATAACCAACATATTATAACATGCTATAACCTATGTCAGTAAATGCACTGCAATGACTACGTTCTTATGCTCTGTCGCCCAGGCTGGAGTGCAGTGGTGCGATCTCGGCTCACTGCAATCTCCAACTCCCAGGTTGAAGTGATTCTCCTGCCTCAGCCTCCCAAGTAGCTGGGATTACAGGTGCCTGCCACCACACCCAGCTAATTTTTCTATTTTTAGTAGAGATGAGGTTTCACCATGTTGGTCAGGCTGGTCTGGAACTCCTGACCTCAGGTGATCCACCTGCCTCAGCCTCTCAAAGTGCTGGAATTACCATGCCTTGCCAATGACTACATTCTTTATGCCAATACATGGACGTGCTTAACTAAGTAATCTCTTACTATTAAACATTTAGGTTGTTTATAACATTTTCATGATTATAAATATTAACAATGAACATTCTCCTCATACATTTTTATATATTAGTTCAATGTTTTCCTTAAGATAGAGCCCAGGAAGATGACCTACTGGGTCAAAATGTATTCTGCATGTTTTCAAGATACCTGGGAGAAGACATCTTGACATCTTCAGTCAAGGCACAGAAAGCCCAAGTTTCTGCTACTGCCAACCTTGAACCTGCCTCTCAATTGTTTTCCCTTGCTTCTAAACAGAACTATTCTGTAGGTAACTGAGACCAAGATTAACCCCACTATTCTGAGGGGTTTTTTAAATCCAGCACAAGTCTAGCTATATGTCAACACATTAAACATGTACATCGTGGCAGTTCTGATATTTCGCCAGTATGTCGGATCAGTCAGTGCATGCCATACAAGTTGCTAAATTTTTAAATGTTACTCCTATGTAGTGGCATTCACAATGTCACTAAGGTATATAGCATAAGGTCATTTGGCTCTACACTAAATAGCCCCGCTTTGGGCCGGGCGCGGTGGCTCAAGCCTGTAATCCCAGCACTTTGGGAGGCCGAGACGGGTGGATCACCAGGTCAGGAGATCGAGACCATCCTGGCTAACACGGTGAAACCCCATCTCTACTAAAAAATACAAAAAACTACCCGGGAGAGGTGGCGGGCGCCTGTAGTCCCAGCTACTCCGGAGCCTGAGGCAGGAGAATGGCGTGAACCTGGGAGGCGGAGCTTGCAGTGAGCCGAGATTCGGCCACTGCACTCCAGCCTGGGCGACAGAGCGAGACTCCGTCTCAAAAAAAAAAAAAAAAAAAAAAAAAAAAAAAAAAAAAAAACAATAGCCCCGCTTTGATCATTTTGAATTTTTTATACAATGATCATGATCGGAAAGATTATTCTCGGGCCAGGTGTGGTGGCTTATGCCTGTAATCCCAGCACTTTGGGAGGCCGAGGCAGGCAGATCACTTGAGGTCAGGAGTTTGAGACCAGCCTGGCCAATATGGTGAAACCCCATCTCTACTAAAAATACAAAAATTAGTTGGGTGTGGTGGTGCGTGCCTGTAACCCAAGCTACTTGGGAGGCTGAGGCACAAGAATCACTTGAACACGGGAGGTGGAGGTTGCAGTGAGCTGAGACTGAGAAACTGCACTCCAGCTTGGGTGATGAAAGTGAAACCCTGTCTCAAAAAAAAAAAACCTCAGAAGGATTATTCTCATAACCTCAGGCTTTTTTTGTTTGTTGCTTCAAAAAGTTACTTGCACCAATTAAAAGGCAGGTTGTTTCTTACAGGAGCCAAAAGAAAAGATCTCATTAATAAATCTATCTAACTTACACGGACGCAGAAGACATTGATGAGTATCATAAGACTAGATCCCTTAAATTTTTCTCAAGTTCACTGAGGAAAAAAGTATGGGAACATTTTACAGAATCAAAGTTATTATTTAGAATTTTGTTATCTTAAAAAGTCATCCTGGGCCGGGCATGGTGGCTCACGTCTGTAATCCCAGCACTTGTGGGAGGCCGAGGCGGGAGGATCACTTGAGATCAGAAGTTCAAGACCAGCCTGGTCAACATGGCGAAACCTCATCTCTACTAAAAACACAAAAATTAGCCAGATATGATCGTGGGCGCCTGTCATCCCAGCTACTTGGAAGCCTGAGGCAGGAGAATCACTTGCACCCAAGAGGAAGAGGTTGCAGTGAGCTGGGATGGCGCCAGTGCACTCCAGCCTGGGTGACAGAGCAAGACTCTGTCTCAAAAAAAAAAAAAGAAGAAAAGAAAAAAAGAAAGAAAAAAAAAAAGTCATCCCATGGGGAGGTTTTTGTATAGAAAAAAATCAATAGAAGTTTTAAAATTTCTACATAAAACAGTCATTAGGTAGGGGAAATATATTAGGGAATAAACATGTTAGTTTCACTTACATTTTACTTTTGTTTGGGGTGGCCTCTACTCCACCCCATCAAAGCATGCTGTTTCCCTATGGATAACTGAATTCCTCCTTAGTGTGTTATCTTAACTTGTTCTCCTTAAATTAGCTCATTCGGCCCCGGCATGGTGGTTCATGCCTGTAATTCCAGCACTTTGGGAGGCCGAGATAGGTAGATTGCCTGAGGTCAGGAGTTTGAGAGCAGCCTGGCCAACATGGTGAAACCCCATCTCTACTAAAAATACAAAAATTAGCCGGGCGTGGTGGTGTGCGCCTGTAGTCCCAGCTACTCGGGAGGCCGAGGCAGGAGAATTGCTTGAACCCAGGAGGCGGAGGTTGCAGTGAGCCAAGACCGTGCCACTGCACTGCAGCCTAGGAGACAGTGATGCTCTGTCTCAAAAAATTCTTTCTTCCCCTATTTTTGCCCAGCAGAAAGTGTATGTACTATGTGTCTAAGTACGCTATTCAGTAACATATGGCTCTTTGGGCATCCCTAACAAACTGGGTCGCCTAAATGAACTTTTCAAATTAAAGCATCCAATTTAAGAGTCAAATTATTTTCTTCGTCTTTTTTTTAATAAGAAAAAAAAAATCTGTGGGTTAGTCTTACAGAAATAGTCTTTAAATGTAACTTGCTTCCAGGGAGATATACAACTGAATCTGGCTAATCAAATAGGGGCGAATATGCTTACAGTTTGATTGTTATTCCAAAGGCCATCTGAAGACTCTGTCACGGTGTCACTCCCATCTACTCAACAAGAAGGAAATTTAATTAGAATTACAAAAAATAGTGAATTTTCACTGCAGACACTAAATATATTCACATTGCCTTCTGGTGATGAAAAGTTGAATGATAATATGATCAAATGCTACAGGCATTGCAAGAGTCATACCAAGTTATGTTGTATTAATTTCTCCTGGAAAGTTGTATTTCTTAACTTTTCTGTCACAGGCTCTTAGAAAATTGACTCTTTTTTTTTCTTTATTAAAAAATAATGCATGTGTACACGAATTGTATCTACTATTTTAGGGTAATCACAGAAGCCCATTCATGGAACCAGGTTAAGAATGCCATTTAAAGGCAATCAATACTTTTATGCTATCTAAATAGCTGTAAATGAATGGTCAGAGGCATGTACATCCAAAACCAGAACCACCCTCATCAGAATGGACACCATATTGGTTTTATGTTCAGAATGAGTAAAATATGCCATCATATCAAAAACAGGTGGCATATAACTCCTGTGTTGTTGCCAATGTGCTTATGCTTTGATCTAGAAGTGCTTTCGAAAATATATCAGCCACCAGATCAATGCATATTATGCCATATGAGGATTAAGATTTTATGTAATATATAAGATACACTTCTCTTAGAGTTGAAATTTTAAAATTTCAACATGTTTTAAAATATCTGCTTTGTAATAGACAGTACATTCTCAGCCAGGCACGGGTGGCTCATGCTTATAAACCCAAGTCTTTTGGGAGTCCAAGGCAGGTGGATCACTTGAGGTCAGGAGATCAAGACCAGCCTGGCCAACATGGTGAAACCCCATTTCTACCAAATATACAAAAACTTAGCCAGGCATGGTGGCACATGCCTGTAGACCCAGCTACTCAGATGGCTGAGGTAGGAGAATCCCTGAACCTCGGAGGCAGAGGTTTCAGTGAGCCAAGTTGGCACCACTGCACTCCAGGCTGGGCAACAGAGTGAGACCCTGTCCCAGAAAAAGAGTGTATTCTGTTGGCCTTCCTAGACAACTATAGGTCCAGTTCAGAACTGTCTTCTTACTGAGCATATACCATGTAGTGAACACTTTACATTCTACCAGCCAGTTAGTTCCTTAATTGCATTTTTGTGGATGAAGAAACACACAGGAAATGGTTAAATGATGATTTCTAATTAAGTGACAAGAGCCTCTGCTGATAACCTACACACACATTGCACTTCCATCAAATGGAAATACTTAGGTCTATGAAATTCTGTAACTGGTGACAATGCTATAGTTATACATGAATAAACTTGGACTAATATCTCCCCAAAATTTACATTACTGTGTTTACATTTTACTGCTTCTGAGGCTTCCTAGGAAGCCAAAGGCAAGGCCAGGCTCAGTGGCTGAGGCCTGTAATCCCCGCACTTAGGGAGGCTGAGGCAGGCAGATCACTTAAGGTCAGGAGTTCAAGACCAGCCTGGCCAACATGGAGAAACCCCATCTCTACTAAAAATATAAAAAAGTAGCCAGCATGATGGTGCACGTCTATAATTCCAGCTACTTGGGAGGCTGAGACACAAGAATTGCTTGAACTCAGGGGGTGGAGATTGCAGTGAGCCAAGATTATGCCACTGCACTCCAGCCTGGGCAACAGAGCGAGACTGAGAAAGAAAGAAGGAAAGAAAGACAGAAGGAAAGAAAGGAAATGAAAGGAAAGGAAAGGAAAGGAAAGGAAAGAAAGGAAAGGAAAGGAAAGGAAAGGAAAGGAAAGGAAAGGAAAGGAAAGGGAGAGAGAGACAGATGTAGGTTTATGCAATATATAGAATCTCAGCTCTGTGACTGGTATTATGACCTTAAGTAACAGTTTCAGGAAGAGGATGGGGTGATGCAGAAAAACAGCATGGACCGGAGTCAGATAAAATTTGAGTTTAATGCTGACAATGTCTATAGCAATGTAACTTTGATACTCAAAGTCCTTTTCATACACACAGGTATGTATGTATGTATGTATGTATGTATGTATGTATGTATGTATAGGTATATAAAGGGGTGTGTGTGTATGTGTGTATACAGTAGTGCCCCCTTACCCACAGGGCATATGTTCCAAGACCCTCAAGTAGATGCATGAAACCAAGAATAGTACCAAACCCTACAGATACCATGTTTTTCCTATATATACATACCTAGGATAAAGTTCAATTTACAAATTAGGCACAGAAAGAGATTAACAACAAATAAATAATATAATAGAACAATTATAGAAATAAACTGTAATAAAATCTATGGGAATTTAGTCTCTCTCAAAATATCTTAGTAGTTTAGGAACATGGTTAACTGCTACAGAAAAGCAAAACTGCAGATAAGGGGAAAACTACTATATATACATATTTCTAGCTAGAGTACGCATGAACTACAACCTATTAATAGTACACAGCCCATCAAGTTGTTACAATTAAATTAGATGATGCATGTAAAGTGGTTGGCACTAAGCTATTATTATTATATAATGGGAAGAGGAGTGGGAAGAGGGGAGGGATAGATATTATGCAATGCAATTTCCAAATATCATATACTCTCTAATCATCCAAAGAGGAATGTTCAACAATTTTCTTGTGGGCACAAAACTAGTAACTCGTAGCTGAAATGGAAGTTGTGTGTTTCCAAAGCAGATTTATAGGGCCTCCTCAATCTGGCAAAAGCATTAAATATGGCCTGCCTTGAAAGAATTAAACAAGATAATATATCCATTTCCTGGCACATCCATCTGTCAAAGGTGGGTAGTGGGCCATATGACAGCTCCATTCCTTTCCAGACCTAATATTCCTTGCTTCCATGAGGCTTTAGGCAACTGAAGGCCAACTCAGGCACAGTAAGAACTTGGCCCATGAGCCTTGGATACACGGCCAAAATGGCAGCAGCCACACAAATCCCGGTGATACAGCTGCTCCACTGTCTGTTCCACCCTGGAAAACTCTACCTTGACAGGTTTCACTGACATGGTATTTCAGAGAATGATTCCCCGCTCCTACTTTCTTCCTCCTTACACTCTCAAAGAGTGGGGTGCAGTTGCTCCTACTGCTGTTACCTTGTATTTTTATCTATTTTCATTTTGTTTTTGTGCCTGGAAACAGTTTGCGCTAAGGATTACACTTTCAAAATGCAATGTCACCATTATCTAATCCCAACTGAATGAGTCCCTATGTGAATCACACTGCAGGTCCATTTTAAATTAACCAGCTACCAGGAATGATTGGCAAAAAAGGTAGGCCATGCAGGCTGGGGAGCAGCTGCCTACAGATTGGCAACTGCTGAGTACAATGAGTCATACACACAAGGAGGCCTGCAAGGCATGACCTTGCTTGGATGCCACACAAGGGCACAGAGCCAGCTCAGCATCACAGAGGAACTCAGCACAGGGCACTCCCAGAACTTACCATTAAGGGGAACAAGGAGAGTTAGCTGGGAAAGATGACAGGTTTCAGCATCACCTTTCTCCATTACAGGGAAAGACAGGTCAATTCTACACTTCCAAGGAGCAGAGACTCTAAGAGGCCTGTTCAGACTTGGAAGAATAGTAAGGATTGCTTGGAGCAGAGTAGCAGGATCTCAGAGGGGCATACCTCTCTGATGTTGGTGTGGGTGTCCTCAACCCATCTGTCTGAGTCTGTTCAGGCTGCTATGATAAGATAGCTTAGATTGGGTAATTTAAACAGAAATTTATTGCTTACAGTTCTGGAGGCTGGGTAGTCCAAGATCAAGGCACAGGCTGATTACTCAATCTAGTGAGGGTCCTCTTCCCTGTAGATGGTGTCTTCTATTTGTTCTCATATGGGGGAAAGAGCAAACAAGCTCCCCTGGGCCTCCTTTTGTTTAATTAATTAATTTATTGTTTCTCTACCATCAAGAAAATGTACCTTCGGCCTTTTATAAGAGCATTGATTCCATTCATGAAGGCAGGGCTCTCATGACCTAATCATGCTCCGAAGGCCCCAGTTCTTAAGACTTGCATTGGGAATTAGCTATCAACATGAATTTAAGGGTGTGGTGTTATGAGATTATATACAGATAGATAGATGTCCGTGCACGGTTCCTGGCTCATAACTCCCATATCCCTAATTACAGTCTTTTGTTATAATAAGTAGGTTTGACCTTAGGAAACAATCTTTGACTTTCTCCTGCTCTCCTTTCACCTGACAAGGCACAACTTTAATTTCCCCTGCCTTTCTGATTGTGGATCATAAGATACTTCCCAGAGAGAGTCCTTCCCTGTGCCCCTGGGGGATGGAATGTTGATGTCTTGAAGTTCCATAAAAACCCAAAAGGGCTGGGTGTGCTGGTTCACACCTGTAATCTCAGCACTTTGGGAGGCTGAGGTGGGCAGATCACCTGAGGTCAGGAGTTCAAGACTAGCCTGGACAACATGATGAAACCCCATCTCTACTAAAAATACAAAATTAGCCAGGTGTGATGGTGCATGCCTGTAATACCAGCTACTTGGAAGGCTGAAGCAGGAGAATCGCTTGAACTTGAGAGCAGAGGTTGCGGTGAGCCGAGATCGTACCACTGCACTCCAGCCTGGGTGATGACAGAGCAAGACTCCGTCTCGAAAAAAAGAAGGATAAAAGAAGACTAGGTTTGGAGAGCTTCCAGATAGCTAAACACTTGGAGGTTACTAGAAGGTAAAGTTCCCAAGGAAGGGCATGAATCCTTTCCCACATACCTCATCCTGTGTATCTCATCATCTGTATCCTTTGCAATATCCTTTACAATAATCTGGTAAACATAAGTGTTTCCCTGAGTTCTGGAAGCCACTCCAGGAAATTAATAGAACCCAAAGAGAGGGTTGTGGGAACCCCGACTTGAAATGAGGTCAGAAGTTCCACAGGCCCGAACTTGTAACTGGTGTGTGCGGTGGGGGTGGGAGGGGCAGTCTTGGGGACTGAGCCCCTAACCTGTGGGATCTGACCCTCTCTCTGGGTAGATAGTGTGAGAATTGAATTGAACACACAGCCGGTGTCCACTGCTTGGTGTATGGGGAAAAAACTCCACACATTCAGTCACGGAAGTCTTCATCTGAGTTGATGATTGTTGTTGAGGTGGTGTGAGAACAGAGAGAAAACCCAGTTTGGGAGTTTTCCCTTAATAGCGAGGACACAAACTTTCAAATCATAGCACCATCTGAGAATGCTCATGTAAATATAAATCTGATGAGTCAGCAGAAGCCTCCTGGTACTTTTTAAGGTCTGGGACTTGTCAGAAGCACAGGGTCTGGTGTTTGAGCTAAACACCAGAGGGCTGGATCTAACTGTTTTAAGGCCCTGGCCCAAGGAATCAAGTCAAAATAATACATTCGGATTCAAGACTGGTTGATCTAATTTCTAAAAACAAAGTAATATGCCTGTGGATGTTTCCAAATCACATAAGCTGCCTGTGCCAGTCAGGCATTTGGATTCTTGACGTTCTAAGGAATAATAATAATAGCTGCTATTAGATTTATCACTTACCCCCTGTAACTATGTCGCAAATCTTTCATCCCATTTGATTCTCACAAGCATTCTGCAAGATCATGGTATTACATCCTTTTTACAAATGACAAAACAGCTGGGCATGGTGGCTCATGCCTATAATACCAGCACTTTAGGAGGACAAGGCAAGCGGGTTTCTTGAGCTGGGGAGTTTGAGACCAGCCTGGTCAACATGGTAAAACCCCCTCTCTCCTGAAAATACCAAATTAGCCGGGCATGGTGGTGCATACCTGTAATCCCAGCTACTTGGGAGGCTGAGGCAGGAGAATGTGTTGAACTCAGGAGGCGGAGGTTGCAGTGAACCAAGATGGCGCCACTGTACTCCAGTCTGGGCGACAGAGCGAGACCCAGTCTCAAAAAAAAAAGAAAGAAAAAGGCGGGGTGCGGTGGCTCACGCTTGTAATCCCAGCACTTTGGGAGGTGGAGGCGGGTGGATCACGAGGTCAGGATATCAAGACCATCCTGACTAACATGGTGAAACCCCGTCTCTACTAAAAATACAAAAAAATTACAGCTACTCGGGAGCCTGAGGCAGGAGAATGGCATGAACCCGGGAGGCGGAGCTTGCAGTGAGCCGAGATCGCGCCACTGCACTCCAGCCTGGGCAACAATGCGAGACTCCATCTCAGGAAAAAAGAAAAACCGCACACACAAATGACAAAACATTCAGAAAGGGTGGATATTTGTACAAGTCAAAGGACCCGTCTGTGTGGCTGGTATTGGCACTCAAGTCAGATCAGTCATATTCCAGAGCATGAGCTCTCAACAAAGTCAACGGTTATCAAGGTTTGAATGATCCCAGCTGTTCAGGAAAGAGAACGCAGTTACCTGTTGTGTAAGAGTACAATGGTGAGCTGGTGGGTTGTGTCCTTGTTGCTCCCAGCAGTGTCACAGGGTGGGTTTCTGCTGGCTGAGGTGAAGATGGTGAAGTGGCTACTGGAATGAAAGGAATGGAAGAATGGTTCCATTTGTGGAGGAAAATGTGCACCCCAAGAAAAATAAAGAACAAAACCAGAATCAGGAATTACCATCACCTTTCCACAGGCCCTTCTCCTGGCCTTCCACAGTGGGCATGCAGGGCTCCTACCCACCCACTTCTCAACCTTTCGGCTCCTCTTAGAAATGTATTCCAAGATGGCCTTCAGGCATTGCCCTGCTGTCTAGTTATTTCATTAACACAAGGAAATGCGATCTAGATAATGTTCTAGCTAGTCTTATCAATATAAGATTATCTCACACTTTCTATACCCCCAGGTTCTCTCTAAATACACAAAGCCAACAACAGGGCATTTTATGCAGAACACCCAATTAAGCTTTTATTTTATTCATACAAGTATTTCACTTTCAGAAAACGGCGGGGGTGGGGGGGTGGGGGGGGGGAGGAGCTTGGGAATTTGCACTAACATGCTCTAACCCATTCACAACAGCCCCATTCTAGATTTCCTGGCCTTACTGAAGTTCAATTATCCACACATCCAGTAACTAACAGAACAGATACAATATTAATTCCTTGAGGTCTCTTAAAGCTGACAATATTGCCCAATGTCAGCCTTGGTAATGATTTGCAACCCTAAAGGTAAGGTTCCTGGCAGACCCTGACCCCAGCTCCTTCCGCATCTGCATTCTAGTCATTCCTTTAGGGGTGATTTCCTGTGTTTTCTGACTCATCTTCCACTTCTCACTGGAAAGCTTCCATTAGGAATTCTCCAGCATAGGGCTACATTCCCCTTTCCTTTCCTGAAATCTCTCTTTTATTTCCTATCAGATATCTCACCTTATTTGCAAAGTTGATCACTTGCCTCTTTACAAAGCATTTACATGATTCCCTTCTCTTAGAGCACCACAGAAATTTAGAGTCAATTAGTGACAGTGACTGGACGAATTCCAAAACCTGGGCTTTCCTTATTGCCTCTCACTGGTCTGTTTCTCCTTCCCCACCACAGTCTCCATAACTTTACTTTTCAACATCACTCTTTCTCCTGTTCTCGACTGTTTTCCTGTGTTCCTCTAGTGCTCAAACCTGTAAGAGGATGTGGCTCTCTTTCGGAACAAAAACCAGAATAACACAGGAGAGTCATGTGGTCAGTCTGTACCCAGTTGAGTTCTGTGCAAAAGACCTCTTTAGCTTAACTTCTTTCCTAAGTTTGGGTCTTTATGGCATCTTTCTTTTCTCCGCTGCTCCTACAACCATACATACAATTGTTCCATGGATGTTTTAGGCAGCGAGCAGGTACTAGGGACACTGAGCAGGGAGGATTGGATGCAAAGATAAATGTCCCTGCATTCCATTTGCTCCAGGGTTCTCTCATTCTTGGACTGTAATGTTCAACTCACGCAAACTCTTTAGAAAACTATCCAGATAAGAAAAAGCTCAATTGATACCATCCTCCAGGTTATAGCCATAAAAACCAACTCTTAGGAGAAAGGCAACTTTCTCCCAAATCTTGGCTTTAAATGAAGTCAATGACTTGGGGATGTTCTCCAAAACAAGTCCACTAATCCATCCACCTTAGCAGACACAAGCTAAAAGTGAAATCAACATTGAGAAAGTCGACTGCCTGGAGCAAAACTGTTTTTCTTACAAACTTTATGGCTCTAAAAATCCAAGCTATGACTTAACGAACACCCTCTCTTCCAAACTGAGCTACTAGCCCAATCCTTCAGATCCCTCCTAGTTAAATACACACACAATTCAATGAGAGTCAAGGGAAATCAATATGTTCCATCAGATTTTTCCAGCTAAGAGGTTGTGACATTTGTTACTCCTCAGAATCCAGAGCCACCCTAAGGGGTCAATGGGTTTTTGAGGGCTTTGAGAATCTCCACTAAAAGTTATCTTTTAAATCCCAGAAATGGAAGATTTGAACCTATACTTGTCCTCAGAATGACAAGCTATTTCCCCACCTATAAGTCAAGTTATCCTCCATTTATATTAAATCTAATGTCTTATTTACAGGGAATTTGAAGTATCAACTATATGGCCTGAACTGAAACAAAATAAACATGTACATTCGAAATCCCTGAAGCCCTTAAATCCAATGTTACTTTTTCCTAAGTATAAATTGCACCTTCTGCAATTTCCACTGTACATAAATAAGTTAAAGGACCTTTGAAGTAAAGATGTGTAAGTCATTGACTGCCCTGAAAAAACGGCATGGTTGTTTAAGGGTTTTTTTGTTTGTTTGTTTGTTTGTTTTCAGTAAAAATGTTAGATCAGGGCAAACTCATCCAAACATAAAACTCAGTGCTCATAATAGGAGGCATGATCCAGTAGTTAAAAGTACTGGCCCCAGTTCAAGCTAACAGAGATCAAAACCTGACTCAACAACTTTGTATCTGTGTAAATTTATTTTTTCTTTCTCTTTTCTTTCTTTTTCACTCTGTTACCCAGGCTAGAGAGTGCAGTGGTGCCATCATGGCTCACTGCAGCCTTGACCTCCTGGCCCCAAGCGATTCCTCCACCTCAGCCTCCCAAGTAGCTGGGACTAGAGGTATGCACCACCATGCAGAGACAGGGTCTCACTATGTTGCCCAGGCTGGTTTTGAACTCCTGGACTAAAATTATAGTCATGAGCCACTGCACCTGGCTTCTATCTGTGTAACTTTCAACAATGAGCTTTTAGACTCTGTCTCAGTTCTCACAATTATAAACCACACCTGCAGTCAATATAATTGTCCTAAGAATTAAATGCATGAAGCATGGTGCCTCGTAAATAGAAAACAGTAGATGTTAACTTCTTTGAAATCAAGGTCTGCTTTCAGAATGGACTAAATGATCTCTCTTCAGAGCTCTTCATGAGGACAGAATCTCATTTATCTGACCTTGGTTCTCTGGCATTCTCTGTGTTTTCATCATAAAGCCATACGTAGCTGAATCAGATCCACACTATCCCTGTTAGATGTCCTACAATAAATGGTCCAGCTATTTTTGGTTAATAATCAATTTCTTTGAGAATCTGACAAAAAGCAATGGGTCCCCTCACTCCAAAAATGCTTATTGGTGCAAAAGATGCATATAACTTGGGAGTTGGGGAGGATCACAAATCCTGAGGAGACCCTGATTGAATCCCAGGTAAGACCTCTCACTCTAGACTGTCCTTCTACCTTGATACAATGCCCTGGATGGTTTGCAGCTCCTCATTGGAAGGTCTTTGGGCTCCCAAACACATCTGTTTTACCTGGTTCATGGTTCTGCATGGGCAATGGTGTTGGAGGAACAAAGGTAGAAACCATGGTTGTCGTTGGCAGAGTTGTTGTTGTTGGAAGAGTTGTTGTCGTTGGCAGAGTCGTTGTCATTGGCAGAGTCATCGTCGTTGGAAGAGTCGTTGTCGTTGGAAGAGTCATCGTTGGCAGAGTCGTCGTTGGAAGGGTCGTCGTCGTTGGCAGAGTCGTCATCGTTGGAAGAGTCGTCGTCATTGGAAGGGTCATTGTCGTTGGAAGAGTCGTTGTCGTTGGAAGAGTCGTTGGAAGAGTCGTTGTCGTTGGAAGAGTCGTTGGAAGAGTCGTCGTTGGAAGAGTCGTTGGAAGAGTCGTTGTCGTTGGAACAGTCGTTGTCGTTGGAAGGGTTGTTGTCATTGGAAGAGTCGTTGTCGTTGGAAGGGTCGTTGTCGTTGGAAGGGTCGTTGTCGTTGGAAGGGTTGTTGTTGTTGGAAGGGTCGTTGTCGTTGTCGTTGGAACAGTGGTGCTTGTTCGAACAGTTCTGACAATTGGAGTAGTGACCCTGGCTGGAGTCAGAAATCAACATGAGAATGATCATGAGTCAAACAAGAAACAAGAGCCTCAGGCTGGAACCGTACCCTAGCACGCCAATGACAGACTGTCCCAAGGTGGAATTAACTTCCTGAACTCTCAATCTTGGTCATTGCCCAGCTAGAAACTGTGACAGGAGAGGGCTTTGGAGACATGCCCCTTCTTCCAAAAGAAGAGCAGATATATTGAAAGGTGCATGCATATTCAGAAATAAGAACAGATGCCTCATATTTGCACTGAAGCACTTTTCTGGGGTCAGGGTCTCACTCTGTCATCCAGGCTGGACTGCAGTGGCACGATCAGCTCACTGCTGCCTTGAACTCCCAGGCTCAAGCAATCCTCCTGTGTCAGATTCCCAAGTAGCTGGGACTACATGCAGGCATCACCACACCTGGCTAATGTAAAAACAAAACAAAACTTTTTTTGTAGAGGCTGGGCGTGGTGGTTCATGCCTGTAATGCCAGCACTTTGTGGGGCCAAGGTGGGTGGACTACTTCAGCTCAGGAGTTCCGAGTTCAAGACCAGCCTGGGCAACAGGGCGAAACCACATCTCTACAAAAAATAGCCAAGTGTGGTGACACATGCCTGTAATCTCAGCTACTTGAAAGACTGAAGCACAAGAATTGATCGAACCCCAGAGGTGGAGATTGCAGTGAGTAGAGACTGGGCCACTGCACTCCAGCCTGAGAAACAGAGCAAGACCCTGTTTCAAAAAAAAAAAAAAGAATTGACCTTATCTTGCTCACCCTTATGAAGGAAACAATCCAAGTCCAAAAGCTAAGAGACTGCAAATTAAAGTTCCTCTTACTTAAAACGAAAATAGAGACATAGCTTATTAAGGTCATAGGTATTGGGTTCTATTATCATTGTAAGACCTTAGTGAAAGAAGATTCATTAAGAAAAAGCAATGGCTGGGCGCGGTGGCTCACGCCTGTAATCCCAGCACTTTGGGAAGCCAAGGGGGGTAGATCGCCTAAGGTCAGAAGTTTGAGACCAGCCTGGCCAACATGGTGAAACCCCATCTTTACTAAAAATACAAAAATTAGCCAGGCGTGGTGGCATGCGCCTGTAGTCCAGCTACTCAGGAGGCCGAGGCAGGAGAATTGCTTGAACCCAGGAGTTGGAGGTTGCAGTGAGCTGAGATGAAGCCACTGCACCCCAGCCTGGGCGACAGAGCAAGACTCTGTCTCAAAAAAACAAAACAAAAAATCAGCAGTAAGGCTGGGTGCTGTGGCTCACGCCTGTAGGCCCAGCCCTTTGGGAGGCCAAGACAAGTGGATCGCTTGAGCCCATAAGTTTGAGACCAACCTGGGCAACATAGTGAAACCATACCTCTACAAAAAAATTTTTAAAAATTAGCCGGGCATGGTGAGGCACCCCTGTAGTCCCAGCTACTCAGGAGGCTGAGGCAGGAGAATCGCTTGAACCCAGCAGGCGGGGGTTGCAGTGAGTAGCAATCACACCACTGCACTCCAGCCTGCTACCGGGGCAACAGAGTGAGACTCCATCTCAAAAAGAGAAAAAAAAAAAAAAAAGGCCCAGTGTGGTGGCTTACGCCTATAATCCCAGCACTTTGGGAGGCTGAGGCAGGTGGATCATTTGAGGTCAGGAGTTCGAGACCAGCCTGGCCAACATGGTGAAACCTCATCTCTACTAATACAAAATACAAAAATCAGCTGGGTGTGGTGGCACCTGCCTGTAATCCCAGCTACTCAGGAGGCTGAGGCAGGAGAATTGCTTGAACCTGGGAGGCAGAGGGTTGCAGTGAGCCATAATTGTGCCACTGCACTTCAGCCTGGGTGACAGCGAGACTCTGTCTCAAAAAATAAATTAATTAATTAAAAAGGACAGTTCTTTAAGGTGAATAAATTCAGCTTGATAAAAATATTCACTGTATTTTACTATGGAACAGTAAATGCTATTTCTTGGACCAATTACTCTGTTTGAAGTACATTCGGCTCTCCATATTTGTGAGTTCTACATCCGTAGATACAACCAAGACTTTGGATGGAAAATGTACAGGGGAAAAAGAAGGATATGTTGTCTGCTGTACTGAACAAATATGGACTTTTCTGTTGGTCATTATTCCCTAAATAATGCAGTATAACAACCAATTTCATAGTATTTACATTGTATTAGGGGTTATAAGTAATCTAGAGGTGATTTAAAGCATATGGGACTATGTGCATAGTTTACATGCAAATACTGCACCATTTTACATAAGGGACTTGAGCATCTGCAGATTTTGGTATCAAGGGGGTCCTGAAACCAGTTTCCCATGGATATCAAGGAACAATTGTACTGTTTTAGGAGCTAGTTTGCTGACTCTAGTCTGACCTTGAATTATGCTTGGCCTTGTAACTTCATCTACACAAAAATTATTCTATTTCCCAAGAACAAGAGTTTATTTTAAAACAGGACTTACAGGAACCTCCTCTTTCCCTATTAAGAAGAAAGAAAATTACTACCAAACAGAAAATTCAATTAACTAGCAAGAAATGTCAAAGAAAAACTTACGTGGCCCAATCTTCAATGATATGGTGATTTTCATGTCATTGAACCACCCACTGTGCTGAACACGGCAACAATATATGCCACTGTCAGACACAGCTGTATTTGCTATAGTCAAAGAGACATCCCTGCGTGAAAGGTTCCCCAATAGCTTATAGCGTGTCTCCTTCCGATAGGTGACGTGGGTTCCATTGGTCCAGACAATGCCATCTGGGCATGAGAAAACAGAACATGTGCCTCTATTCCAGCACATGGATGTGATAGCTCCGTTGTAGCGGCAGGGCAGTGTGATAGATAGACCTGCCACTCCATCAACATTTACAGAATCGGCTACAGAATCTGCAATGAAGAAAAGACAAACTGAGAATGAGCCTTAACATTTCCTCTTGGCTGGGCACGGTGGCTCATGCCTGTAATCCAAGAACTTTGGGAGGCCAAGGCGGGCAGATCAACTGAGGTCAGGAGTTCAAGACCAACCTAACCAACATGGCAAAACCCGATCTCTACCAAAAAAAAAAAATACAAAAATTAGCAGGGTGTGGTGGTGGAATCCCAGCTACTCAGGAGGCTGAGGCAGGGGGAAGTGCTTGAATCCAGGAGGCGGAGGTTGCAGCAAGCTGAGCTCGCACCACTACACTCCAGCCTGGGCGACAGAGCAGACTCTGTCCTCCCACCCCCCCAAAAAAAAATGTTTCTCTGAATTTTTTTTACTTGTTTTACTTTCTTTAAAAAACTATTTTATTCATTTTTTAATTGTTTATTTTTTAGAGACAGAGTCTTGCTCTGTCACCCAGGTTGTAGTACAGTGGCGCAAAGATCTTGGCTCACTGCTACCCCCGCCTCCCGAGTTGAAGAAATTCTCATGCATCAGCCTCCCGAGTAACTGGAATTACAGGCATGTGCCACCACACCCGCCTAATTTTTGTATTTTTAGTAGAGACAGGATTTCACTATGTTGGCCAGGCTGGTCTTGAACTCCTGACCTCAAGTGATCCGCCCATCTGAGCCTCCCAAAGTGCTGGGATCACAGGCGTGAGCTGCCAAGCCCAGCCTTGTAAATTGACATTATAGCTGGAATTTTTTCCCCCTTTTTCCAAGTTAGCTGATATAGCTGGTTTTTTTTAAATTTGAGATTGCAAGCATTTTTTTATGTTACCATCCTTTTAATTTTTTTTTTTTTTTTTTAAACAAAGTCTTGCTATGTTGCTTGAACTCCTGGCCTCAAGTGATCCTCTGGAGTTGCTGGGATTATAAGCATAAACTGCTGCACCTGGCTTAGCATATTCTCCAACAGTATTGTTCAGGGGATATATTTACAAGTAAAACATTTTATTGGACTGTGTGATATTCAAGCTGTTTCTCATTATTACCAGTGTAAATAACTTCACATAACCTTTCTACACAAAACTTTTTACATTTAGTTTTCCTAATAGGATATAATTCTGAGATTATCAGTATAAAGCGCAGGAACATTTTCCATTTTTTCATAAACATGGCCAAAATCCTTTCCAAAAGGTTTGAACCAAATAACATTCAAGTAATATGAGTGTGTATTTCACCCTGTGTTTGTTAGATATCTGCTTACCATTGATTTTTCAATAGGTAAGAAATGCATGTGGCTTTTCAAAATGAAACAACACCAAAGGGCATACAGTGAAAGTCCCCCTCCCACTCCAGTCCCCAGCCTGCTCTACTAGATCCAATTGCTGCATCCGTTGAAAACAGCTTTTTGATGGGCACAGTGTCTCACACCTGCAATCCCAGCACTTTGAGAGGCCAAGGTGGGAGGATCTCTTGAGCCCAGGAGTTTATCCCAGCTACTTGGGAGGCTGAAGTAGGGAGATCATTTAGGCCCCAGAGAGGTCGAGGCTGCAGTGAGCCAAGAATGTCCCACTGAACTCCAGCCTGAACGACAGAGCAAGACCTTATGTCCAAAAAGAAAAAGAAAGAGAAAATAAATACAGTGTTTTTTTTTCAATTTGCATTTACATTTCAAATTTTTAATTTTCAGCCAGGCACGGTGGCTCATCCTGTAATCCCAGCACTTTGGAAGGCTGAGGCAGGCGGATCACTGAAGGTCAGGAGTTCGAGACCAGCCTGGCCAACATGGTGAAACCCTGTCTCTACTAAAAATACAAAACTTAGTCTAGGCACAGCAGCTTACGCCTGTAATCCCAGCAGTTTGGGAGGCCAAGACGGGCAGATCACTTCAGGTCAGGGGCTCCAGACCAGCCTGGCCAACATAGCGAAGCCCTGTCTCTACTAAAAAAAAAAAAATACAAAAAAAAAGTAGCTGGATGTGGTGGTGCGTGCCTGTAATCCCAGCTACTCGGGAGGCTGAGGCAGAAGGATCTCTTGAACCTGGGAGGCAGAGGTTGCAGTGAGTGAGATCATGCCATTGCACATTGCCCTCCAGTCTGGACAACAGAGGGAGACTCCGTCTCAAAAAAAAAAAAAAAAGAAATTATTTTTTGTATTTTTAGTAGAGACAAGGTTTCACCATCTTGGCCAAGCTGATCTTGAACTCCTGAACCTGTGATCCTCCCACCTTGGCCTCCCAAAGTGCCGAGTTATTTATTTATTTATTTATTTATTTTTTGAGATGGAGTCTCACTCTGTCACCCAGGCTGGAGTGCAGTGGTGCGATCTCGGCTCACTGCAAGCTCCACCTCCTGGGTTCATGCCATTCTCCTGCCTCAGCCTCCTGAGTAGCCGGGACTACAGGTGCCCGCCACCACGCCTGGCTAATTTTTTGTATTTTTAGTAGAGGTGGGGTTTCACCATGTTAGCCAGAATGGTCTCGATTTCCTGACCTCATGATCCTTCCACCTCTGCCTCCCAAAGTGCTGGGATTACAGGCGTGAGCCACCGCGCCTGGCCGCCAATAAATTCTTATTTACTTTTGCCTAATAGTAGTATCATTTTTTTTTTGGATTACACATACAATGCATGCTATTACAATTTGGTTATAGAAGTATATAATGAGAGGTTATCTTTCCGCCGTAATCCCAAAGGCACATATCACTCCAGAAATTTGTGTTTAAAATTTAGGATATACCTATTTCAATCTTTCCTTATTTCATAGAATGTTTTGAATTACAGTGTTTATTTCAAAATAAAATACTTAGGCCAGGTGTGGTGGCTCACGCCTATAATCCCAGCACTTTGGGAGACTGAGGTGGGAGGATCACTTGAGCCCAGGAGGTCGAGGCTGCAGTGAATCAAGATTGCCCAACTGGGCCAGGCGCGGTGACTCACACCTGTAATCCCAGCACTTTGGGAGACTGAGACAGGTGGATCACAAGGTCAGGAGTGCAAGATCAGCTTGGTCAAGATGGTGAAAGCTTATCTCTACTAAAAATACAAAAAAATTAGCTGGGAGTGGTGGCAGGTACCTGTAATCCCAGCTACTCAGGAGACTGAGAGAGAATTGCTTGAACCTAGGGGGCAGAGGTTGCAGTGAGCCAAGATCACACCACTGCACTCTAGCGTGGGCAACACAGCGAGACTCTCTCTCAAAAAAAAAAAAAAAAAAGATTCCCCAACTGCACTCCAGAGTGAGACCTCATGAAGAGAGAGAGAGAAAAAGAAAAGAAGGAAGGAAGGAAGGAAGGAAGGAAGGAAGGAAGGAAGGAAGGAAGGAAGGAAAGAAAGAAAGAAAGAAAGAAAGAAAGAAAGAAAGAAAGAAAGAAAGAAAGAAAGAAAGAAAGAAAGAAAGAAGGAATTGAATGTGGCTGAAAAAATCGAAAGGCACAAAAGAATACAATAAGGATTAACCCTCCCTCCACCTCCCACCCTCCGCCCCCATCCTGCAGTACCCACTGTCACTATTTCCTATATACATGTGTCTATGCATATACATCTAACCAGTCCCTTTTTGTTTAAACACAAATGGCAGCATGTGACACACTGCGCTGCATCTTGCCTTGTTCATTTAGCCATGAATATTGTAATTCATAGCAGTTAAGCAATTTCTTTGGCCTAAAACTCTATTCTGGTCCTGCTCACTGGTTAATTCATAGCCATACAACAGTGCACAAAGAACATCTACTTTCATCCACCACCACCATCCCCTCCCCTTCCCCTACCCCATTCTCTGGGCTTCTAATCCCCCTCCATTCCCTTCTTCCCGCCCAGGGCACCTACTCACTTACCTGCCAGATGTAGGATGAGGCTTAAGATGACCACTTGAAGATGCATTATGGGATCCGCCTGAAGGAAAATGAGCAGACAGGCTGGTTGGTACACCCTACCAGATGGTATCTGATCAAGTCCTAATTCTCAGATTGCAACTTATCTTTGGATGATTCATATGAGCCTGCTCTGCTGGAAATGAGAGACCACATACAACAGCTTCCGAGCTCTGTTAGTTCCCTGCGGCTAAGAGCTCTGTGCCTTCCAAAGGACCGGGAAAGCTGTCCACAGAAACAGCCCCTGACTTCCCAGCTTCTTCCCCACACATAGGCTCCAAACTGACTCCTGGTCCTGATACAGGGGATCAGGGAACAAACAAAAAGGAGACTGGAAGCAGAGAACTAGCATGGCTCAATGGCAGCACAAGAGCAAAGGCCAGCCTTCCAGTGGCAGAGCTGCACTTGCTTTTCAGAGTAAACTGGGCCTCTGGTGGACGTGGGGCTTTTCCTGCTCAGTGGCTACAACGATTCATCCCCAGCCTTAACAGTGACATTGCCAAGTTTGCCGTTAGCAAGAGGAATTGACAGTGAATATGAATCACTGTGCCTAACCTTTCATGCCCCTGGACAGCGTGATTGAGACTGCAGCTCCTTACCAAGGGATTTCAAGAGAATGCTTCAGGAAACAGAAGTCTGGAGCAGACTTACGTTCAGATCCAAGCTCTGTCACTCACAATGCTGGATAACCCTGAGCCTTCCTGAGTTCTCTTCAAACCTCTATTTCCTCAGTTGTAAAATAGCACTAAAAATGTTTCCTCTGTCTCCCACCAAGGATTGATATAATAAGCAAAAAGGGCCACGGAAGAACTTCGAAAACTAAACCTACATAGGCACTAACAGCACTAGCTAAGGTTTTTGGAGAATACTATATAGCAGGGTCTGTGTCAAGCACCCACATGCGTTAAATCAGGCTGTTGACTTCTGCTCTTAATCATTAAACCATGCAAACGTAAGTAAGCTTGCCTAGTACTTCATTAACTCCTCTTCTGGTCTGAGATTTCGGTAACTTCCAAGGAGGCAGTGGTGCTCTGTATCTTGCATCTCATGACAGGGTTCATGAGGAAGTGGTCTTGGCTTACTGTGGCCATGGGTCGCAGGCTCCCAGGAGTGGGAACCCCTGACTCCAGCAGCCAGCAGCCTCTGTACTCTGACATGATGTCTGATGCTACTAACTGGTGACCCAGACACTATTTGGCCTACAAGCGTTTTGTATGGCAGCGTTTAAAAATTCATTTCTTGACCAGGCGTGGTGGCTTGCCCCTGTAACCCCAGCACTTTGGGAGGATGAGGTAGGCCAATCACCTGAGGTCAGGAGTTCAAGACCAGCCTGGCTAACGTGGTGAAACCCCGTCTCTACTAAAAATACAAAAATTAGCTGGGCGTGGTGGCGGGCGCTACTTAATCCCAGCTACTTAGGAGGCTGAGGCAGAAGAATTGCTTGAACCTGGAAGGTGGAGGTTGCAGTGAGATCAAGCCATTGCACTCTAGCCTGGGCAACAAGAGCAAAACTCCATCTCAAAAATAAAAATAAAAATTCATTTCTTGCCAGGCACAGTGGCTCACGCCTGTAATCCCAACACTTTGGGAGGCCAAGGCGAGTGGATCACCTGAGGTAAGGAGTTTGAGACCAACCTGGGCAACATAGCAAGACTCCCTCTCTGCAAAAAAACAAAAAACAAAAAATAATAGTCAGGCCTGGTGTACATGACTGTAGTCCCAGCTACTCAGGAGGCTGAGGCAGGAGGATTTCTTGAGCCCAGCAGTTGGAGGCTATGATTGTGCCACTGCACACCAGCCTGGGTGACAGAGCAAGACCCTGTTTCTTAAGGAAAAAAAAAGATTTAACAAAAAATTAAGCTAATTCAATTCAACCAGTCATTACTAACACATTGAGTTGATGGGACATGACTCAATATACTAAGGACGTGAAAAATCCAGAATTGTGCAATTGGGCAGGGACATGGGCAAGTAAGCAACTAATGAAATCAGGATGAATGAGGCAAAGGTAAATATATAATCAGATTACATCATTCCCCCACTTATAACCCTCTCATACCTCTCTCAGAAAAAATAATAATAATAATTCCTAAATCTTTACTCAAATTACTGAAGCCCTGGTGATCTGGCCCTGACCTACCCCATAGATTTCTTCTACCACTTTCTCCCCTGCTGACTCAGCCCCAGCCACTAGAGCTTTCTTTCCAACTTGCCTCAACCCTAAGGCCTTTTCCATGGCTGTGTTCTCCATCTAGCTCCCCGGTCCCATTTTCACTTTTTTCCTTTTCATTTTTATCCTGGCTTGAATGTTACCTCCCTGGACATTTCACTGGTCCTTCAATCTGAAGTAGCCAAGCAGTCCCTCTCACTATTATTATCTTATTTCCCTTAATCCATTGTATCTGTATGTGCAGTATATGTGGTGTCTGACTATAGTCCCTCCTGTAGAGTGCTGCCCAGTAGAATTTTGGTAATGGAGTTATTCTGGTAACGGAGTTATTCTGGAACTGATGAACCAAAGAGAGCCAAGACAGGGACATAGAGCCAAGGCTCTGAGATGTTACGTAACTGTACAATTCCATAGGATTTGAATTTGAATTCCATAGGATTGAGTCTGTCTCCAGTAGAATATTGGTAACGGAGTTATTATGTGTGTCGTGCACTACAGCAGCCACTAGCCACATATAACTATTAAGCACTTGAAATGTGGCTAGGGCAATGAAGGCATTTTTAATTTTTTTTTTTTTTCCAAGACAGAGTCTGACTGTGTCACCCAGGCTGGAGTGTAGTGTCACAACTCGGCTCAGTGCAACCTCCATCTCCTGGGTTTAAGCGATTCTCTTGCCACAGTCTCCTGAGTAGCTGGGACTACAGACATACGCCACCATGCCTGGCTAATTTTTGTATTTTTAGCAGAGGCGGGGTTTTACCATGTTGGCCACGCTGGGCTCAAACTCCTGGCCTCAAGTGATCCCCTCACCTCAACTTCCAAAAGTGCTGGGATTACAGGTGTGAACCGCCATGCCTGGCTTAAAATGTTTTATTTAATTTCATTTTAATTAAAATTTTGGATTGCTTGAGCCCAGGAGACAGTCTTCAGGGAGTTGAGATGGCACCGCTGCACTCAAGCCTTAGATGACAGAGCTTTCAAAAAAATAAATTAATTAAAAATAAAAAAGTAAAATTTAAATTGTCACACACAGCGACTGTGTTGCATGGCACCCAACTCCAGACCATAAACTCCTTTAAGGCAGTTTAAGTATTACTTGAGACTGGGCATGGTTGCTCACACCTGTAATCCTCCCAAAGGAGGCCGAGGCAGGAGGATCACTTGAGGTCAGGAGTTCCAAACCAGCCTGGCCAACATGGTGAAACCCCATCTCTACTAAAAATGCAAAAATTAGCCAGGCATGGTTGCAGGTGCCTGTAATCCCAGCTACTCAGGAGGCTGAGAGAGGAGAATCGCCTGAACCCGAGAGGCGGAGGTTGCCGTGAGCCGAGATCATGCCACTGCACTCTGGCCTGGGCCACAGAGTGAGACTTCTAAAAAAAAAACAAAGTTATTAATTGAATATATAAACAAATGGAAACACAAACCCATAGAGAAACACCATTCATTTTGACGATGGGGTGTGGGGGGGTGAGAAGAATTTCTTAAAAAGTTACATGTGAGAAGAATGGGTGGAGGGTGTTTCAAGTAGAGGAAATGAGGAGCCAGAGAGAGCCAAGACTCTGAGATGTTACTTAACTGTACATTCCATAGGACTGAATTTTCTGACACACGACCATCTCCCATGAGAGACGCCTGTGTTCTAAAGACTCCCAAATAATATAGCACAGTGGGTTTTTTTTCATGAGCTATACAACCTCCATGAATCGCTACTCTTTAGGGCAAACTTCATGACCCCCTGAAGGATGCATCCCAGTTGTGGGGTGAAGCTGGAGGTGACAATACTTTGGCACCAAAGCTGAATTTCCAGCTGCTCACTAGAGAGCTGCATCTGTGTAAACCAAGATTAATGGCAGTGAATTGAAATGATTCAGAACATGGGCTGGGCGTGGTGGCAGGTGCCTGTAATCCCAGCTACTCGGGAGGCTGAGGCAGGAGAATTGCTTGAACCTGGGAGGCGGAGGTTGCAGTGAGCCGAGATCGTGCCACTGCACTCCAGGCTGGACAACAGACTGACTCCCTGTCTCAAAAAAAAAGAGAAAGAACTCAGAAAGGAAAATAATTCACTGTTCTTTCCTGCAACCACCATTACTTCCCTGCTATCTCAGCGCACATCTTACCTCCAGCTCCGGCCTCCTGCAAGACACTTCAGCTGCTCATATTCCCCATGCTTTCACCACAGCAAGATCTTCTTAGGCCCCCTCCACAACTAGGGACTCACCAGCTCCACATCATTGTACCTGTAAGGCTCTCCCTCATCCCCATCACTTTATATTAGGCCTCTATAATCCAGACTTCTACAATTCCCTCCAAAACTGTCTTCCTACCTTTTACTTCTCTTCCTGCCCTGCCACTGCCCTAAGCTAGTTATTTTCCTTCACTTACTCCTCTGATTTCATAACAAGTAATATGACGCTTTTTTATATACCTTTTACAAAGATATAAAAATTACAAGGTACCTATGTTTACCATAGAAAACATATAAAAGGCCAGGCATGGTGGCTCACACCTGCAATCCCAGCACTTTGGGAGGCCAAGGCAGGAAGATCACTTGAGGTCAGGAGTTCAAGACCAGCCTGGCCAATATGGCAAACCCCTGTCTCTACTAAAACTACAAAAATTAGCCAGGCATGGTGGCTCATGCCTGTAGTCTCAGATACTAGGGAGGCCGAGGCAAGAAAATCGCTTGAACCTGAGAGATGGAGGCTGCAGTGAGCTGAGATCACACCACTACACTCCAGCCTGGGTGACAGAGCGACATTCTGTCTCAAAAAAAAAAGAAAAGAAAATATATAAAAATACCAAAAGTGTACTCATTTAACAATTATTTGTTGATGATCTGCAATATGTTAGAAATAATCCTATTTTTCTGGAATGTACCAATGAACCAAAGACCCCTGGCCTCATGTAACTTACCTTTTTTTTTTAAGATGGAATTTCGCTCTTGTTGCCCAGGCTGGAGGGCAATGGCACGATCTCAGCTCATTGCAACCTCTGCTTCCCGAGGTCAAGCGATTCTCTTGCCTCAGTCTCCCAAGAAGCTGGGATTACAGGCACGCGCCACCACACCAGCTAATTTTTGTAATATTAGTAGAGACGGGGTTTCACCATATTGGTCAGGCTGGTCACGAACTCCTGACCTCAAGTGATCCACCTGCCTTGGCCTCCCAAAGTTCTGGGATTATAGGCGTGAGCCACCACGCCCGGCCTCATGTAACTTACATTTAACTGAAAAATAAATATACAGATTTTTAAAACATCAGTAAAATGTAATTTATCAGCATATTACAAGTTGATGAATGCTAATGCAAAAAAGGCAAAAGGATACGCAAGAGCAGGGTGAAGGTGGTTGGGAGTGGAGGGTTGAGGAGGCGCTGAGTTGCAATTTTAAGGTGGTCAGGTTTGAATAGTGTCTATTACTTTCACCAAGAAGTTGATTATTTGAACTAAGACAAAGAACAAGGGAGTTAGCCAAGACAGGAAAAGCTTTCCATGGAGGGCAAAGGTCCTAAAGCAGGAGGGTGCCTGGTGTGTTCACAGAGCAAGAGAGGCCAGCGTGACTGCAACCGAACGAGGGACAGGGATCACAGAGGAGTGACGGCACAGCACAGACACGTGGGGCTTAGGAACCATTTTCTGAGGACATAGGCTTTCACCCCACATGAAAGGAAGCACCACTGCAGGGGCATAGGGTGATAAGATCTAACTTCATTTGACA